TTATCATCTCGGTGGTATTTAATGAATATTGATACTTAATGCAGCTCTGCCAGTAGGGGGAAAGAAGAGTTTGGGAACTGCACAAAGAACTTCTGGCGACTTTTCTCAAAACAGAAAACACAGCCACACACTTTGCTCTGCTACTCTTGAACAGTTCTAAGAGAAGGCCCAAATGTTGGAGTGCAGCTCCTAAAACCGAATGGGATTACTACAATAACAATATTTGCATGTGAAATAACCGCACGCCCACAGGTACCAGGTGTCACAGTGAACTGGAGCATCGCTCTCCTGGTTTCAAAGCAGGAATCCCCAGCTGGGATTTCAGACCTCCACAGCACAGCAAGGTCAGACTTGATAAGCATAATTTAAACATACGGTCTTAAAAAATACAAAACGTAGGAACATTTATTGGCTTAAGCATGCTTTGGCATTATCTTTAGAATAATCTGCCTCTTTTTTTCAGAATGAAAATCCCTGAACCTAAGCAGCAATTAGATGCTGTTTATAAAACAAAATGCTGAAAAAAACATTTCCTTCAAAAAACTCTTGGCAAAGGGCTCATCAGGATTCTTCTTAATGTACAAATGATGAATTACACAAGTTCCAAATAATTTATTCTGGCACATCTGATGACTGTGTGTATAGTTTATTTATATATATATATATATATGTGTGTGTGTATATATATATATATATATACACATATATACACACACATATACACACACACACACCTTTCAGTTAACTGTTAAAAATAGCAACTTCTTTTGGAATGCTACATCAGTGACTATTTTAGATTAGATTCCTTCCTCAAGACTCAACTTGTACGTCCTGAAAGAAATCTCTTGAACAAATACAACAGAACCTTACACTACTACGGATAAGACAGAACCACTAAAACTGATAGGGCATTAATGCTATGAAACACCACCTCTTTGACTATGGCTGGCACTGAATCATGCTACAGTAAACAGAGGTAGGGATATCTGTAAATCTATTTTCCAAATCCAGATGAACAGATTTACCTGCTGTAAATGAAGCTTTTAAAGCAGATCACTCACTAAAGAGCATCTTTTGCTAATGTAGACCCAAAGGATGGAGCAAATATGGACTTCTTTTGAATATATCCATCTTCTCCAGAAGAATAATCCACCCAAAACAAGTGGCAGAAACAACCTGGCCCTCCTGAGTTTGCCCAGTACTTTCTCCTCAAGTCTTTATTATCTCCTAAAAGAAAAATTATCTGCACAGGTTTTTGTTGCTCATTTATCTAGAACAATATCATGGGCAGCACTGTCTGGGTTTTTTTTATTTTTTAATAAAGGAAAAGTAATTTTGCTGGCCTGCTCCTAGCAACAGAGTACAAATTCAGAGAGATTTTTACTCAATCTATTACAATGTTTTCACTGTCAGGTTAGGGCATACATCAGAGCACAAGAGATTTACAAGACAAGTTGAAGAGCCCTAAAATGAAAAATTGGACTCTCTTTAACTCAAGCCTCTCTGTCCATTGAGCCTGAAGATGTCAAACAAGAACCAGACTTCCACTTGTTTATTGTTTATAGTGTGCTTATTTCCCCAAACCCACAAATGTCACAACAAATGACCCTAAAAGGCATCATAAAGGGCAAGAGTCCCAGTACCTTCTGTGGTGAGCAAGTTCTTATTCTGGCAATTTCCTTCCAGACAGAGAAGACAGATGATTAATCTGGGAGCCCTGAGAAAGCCTCATGCAACAGAGCTATCCCAGTCACAGGGTTTTCAGCTGAGACCCCTAAAAATTCCCATTAATACTGACTGACCCTCTTGTGTGTGCCAGCAAACACAACTGCAGGAATACAGTCAATGTCCTGTGCTCCTCCTCCTTCCTCCTCACATCAGTGGCTCACTGCTGTCATCTTCCAGCCACACAGTGCCATACCAGAGCCTGTTGGGCTCCCAGCAGGGCAGTCCCAGGTCCCATCGGTAGGGACAACCTCCATGGTCTCACTGCTCTCAGCCACCCCAGACTCTTTGGGACACAGCATTCTGCTCCTCCAGGGCTATGGAGACAATTTTCTAACTGGGAATTTGCTTTTGAGATGTGGTGCTAAGCAAAATAATACAAGATTAATTACCTGCATCAGTTACTACATTACAAGAGTAAATAAAAACCTAAGGAACATCATTCCTTATTGCATTTCTTTATTTCAAACCAGAAGCAGCCATCCTGGTTTTCAGAAGGGTTGCGTGTCTATGCTTTCCCAGTTGCTTGGAAGGAGCTGACAGCTTTCAGCACTTCAGCAAACACTGCTTTTGGATTCTTTAACAGAAGGAAGGAGCCAGCAGTCAGATGAGAAGCATGTGAGGGAACGCATCTATTAGCAAGTACAGGGAAATGTCTTGTTAATAGAAGACAGAAGGAGGGACAAAGCAGGGAGAGAAAGAAGCCAGCAGTTAGTCATTTTCTCATACAGATACATTTGGCTAGAAATGAGACCTCTACCAATCCAGTATTCCTTTCTGCACTTTCAGAGCCAGTGAAAACCAATGCTGAACAGCAAAAGGTCTTCTTCAAAACTGCTTGGCACCCTAAGAAGCCCTCAGACAATGAAAACAGTGAGAAAATGAAAATTTTCATGGTATTAGCTGCATAGGACAGAGACCTTCCATTTAAAAAAACCTCACCTTTTTGATTCAAATTTGCTGCTGCTGTTTCAGATACCTACTAGTGAAAAACTAGAGCTTCCTACTTCCAAACCTGAGGGCAAAAAACGGCCTAAGGCTGACAAGGGATGGGTGAGTGGGTCCTCCAAAAACCAGCTTTGCCATTAGTGAATCCCCTTCTCCAGCTCCTTCTGTCAGCACAAGGTAGGAAGAGATGGCTGAGCCTCCAAGACAAGCCGAGAAAGTTTTTTGGTTTGGGTTTTTTTTGGGGGGGGTTGGTTTTTTTGTAAGATATTTTGGAGGGGAAAGGAGAACAAAGAGCAGAGCAGGGAGAGGGGTGAAGGGCTCCAGTGAAAAATGAGCTGACACAGCACAAGAATCAAGTTTTGAATCACCACCTTTATGACAAGAGACACCACTGGAGATGTCCAGGCCGTGAACCAGAACCCAAGTCTCACCATAGCAGTGAAGATCAGAGATACGCATTTGCAAGATGACTGCTCAGCTTGCACCACTGCCATTAATAACGTGCAGCAGCAAAAGTTACCCATGCAGTTACTTCAAGGAGCAGGAGCATAAATAAATAGATCAGTAACACGCTCACTAATGCTGCCTTTACCTCAAATTAAGATATGTTTAATACCAAACAAGGCATATGCAAAATCTGCATAACAATAAAAGAGTTTTTAGAAGATTCTTTGTCCAAATCATCACCTATGTTACCCCACGAGCAAGAGTTTCCTGCATTCCTCTGCTGGCCCAGGAGGATCACTGCACTGTTGCTATTTGCTCCAATCTGCTATCCAAAAATGACATTTTGGCACATCGCCGGTTTTAACTGCTTACATCTAAGAAAAGCTCCAGATAATACAGTTGCTCTGAACAACATTTAATACATACTTGACTCATAGCACGCTGTTACTCAGCCCAAAGACTTGTCACTGAACTTAATTTTAACAGCACACATCAAAGCAAAAAAAGACAAAGAAACAGTTACTCCTTTCTTGAGTAATCAGTAAGGCTAAAAAAAAAATCCCTGCATTGCCATGAGAAGATCAGTATGCAGTGTGCCCTTGCAAGAAGACAGGCACCTGGATATTTTCTTCTTTTGCATTTTAGAGAGAAAAAAGAAAAAAAAAATAAAAGACACATGATTCACCATTATTTGCATTTAACTACCACAAAATCAAGACTCTAAAATCAATCTGCCATATTTTTTAAAACTTTTCATAAGCTTATTTTCGTCTTTTCAAAATCTGCTTCTGCCCTGTGTTACAGACACTGAGCTCAACAAGCATTTGACTTGACTTAATATAACCAATATTCTCCTCAAGACACTCCAAGATATAAGGGAAACAACTCCTGGTTTTCAAACCTGCAGTTCTGCTAGAGCTGCCCTCTAACCACGCTTCTTTGTCTGATGCACCAGTAAAACAATTCAACGTTTTATGGATTCCTGAATTAGCAGCCCTTTAAAGTCAATATACAAGGGGAAAGCTCAGTGAACTCCGTTTTTTCTTGTCATTTCATATAAGGAAAAAACCTCAAACTTCCTTTGATTCCTTCATCAGCTTAGGCCTGTGGACTCTGGTGACAACAGGGACTTCTATCATTACAACCATGAAGCTTTCAGCAGCAGTGTTTATACATCAATGACTCTTGTTCTGGGAAAAAAAGCAGGTAGTTTCCCCAAACTACAAGGATGCTCACTACAATGAATAATTGCTTAGCACTTCATTTTCTACATAATAATCATTTTCTTATATGTAACTAAATATTTTAAGCAGTTTATTAATTCATAAGCTTAGTTGTGGACAGCTCTGTTTTTGGCACCAGTACACAGACTGCCTGAAGTGTTGATACTCTATGTCCTCAAACAGTGTCTAAGTGTCCTCATAATTGCTTGTCACCTGTAAAAGAGGTGCAGATCCAACGCAAAATTAACATATGGTGAGCAGATGGACTCAGAACAGACGTTTGTCGAGAAAGTACTCACACCAAAGACTTTTTGGCTTCAGCCTTTTAGGACCTTCAGAAAAGTCCTGCTTGAAGCTCCAAGTCATACTAATCAGGGGAACAGCGTTCCTCAATGACAACCTCGTGCGGCAAAACACAACTTTTATGACCTGCTACGAAGAAGAATCCTCGCAACTCTTCTGTGCTCACAGTGCCTCCGTAAACAAAAGAAACAAAATACGGTTTCCATAGGTACCCCACCCACCCAACGAGAATAATTCACTTTGTAAGAAATAAAAATGCAAGTACAAAGCTGCTATTATAATAATTTAAAAAAATAACTACAATAAGAAGTGCCCCCCCACCATGCAAACTCTTCAAAATATTCCATCACTTACTGAGGAGGTAGGACAAGAGTTGTTGGCTGCGCTTTTGGTCTGCGTTTTGCAGATACTCCCATCTGGTTGGCTGAACGTTTCAAAGACTGCTGATTCAAAAGGCCAGATGCTAGCCCGGCATGGTACTGCAACTGGAAAATAAGACAGATATACATTAAAATCCACACCACTGCAGTACTCCATCTATGTCAGACCTCTACTATCTGTACCACCTGATTCAAATTACAGCCAGTCAGGAAGATAACGTACGGTATTTCATATATATATATTGCTTGGATGGATGATGACATGAACAAAAGCATATAAAAAGTCTGCTGTGAAACAGGTATTACAGGGAATTTATGCTACAGGGCAAGTAAGAGGATGAATCAAAGCCTTCCTCTCAAGGTCTAACTCTCCCGAAACTTGGGCTTGCTTTTAAATGTTCAGGCTGTTTCTCCTCACAAGGGATTAAGCATTCTCACTTTTTGGAAGAAGAAAAGAGGAAGAAAGATGCTACCCTTTCAGTATATAAACCTGCTTTTTAAAAATAACATCTTTTTTTCTTAAACATAAAACCAAAAAACACTCGCAAGGAAGTTTCTGCCCCTGTAAAGTAAAATGCAGCCTTTAAAACACCTATCACATCTCCATAGCACTGCAGAAAGATTCACAGTCAGTAGCTTTCTTCTCTAACCTTTTATTTTACTTGCCAGTGAAAGCCAAATTTATGAAGGACACAACATGAATCTGCAAGATTTTGAGTGCATTCCCACTGCTCGCAGATTTAAGAACAGCTACAGTGCTGGCTGTCCTGAAAACAACTCCAAATGCAACAAGTTACAAGCTCACCTCTAAACACTGGGAATTTACATTCTTAGTGCCCCATTTTTGAAGAGCAGTTGTGGAGGGGGGAAGATTCAGTGTCAGAAAAATGCAACTTCCTTCATAACTCTAGTCCCTCCCCAAAAATGAATCAATGTGTTCATTGAACTGTCTAAAGATTTGCTCTAACAAAGGCGAACTGTTGAATACATTAACAACTCTAACCCCACGGTCTGCATCTAAAAAAAGTTACAGTTTGGAAAATACGGCTGACAAATGTTCAGAAAATAAAGTGGTTGTGCAGGGTACTGCCTGGAAATGAGGGAAACGAGGCTTGGGCAAGTGATCTACTTGGAAGTGTCTATTAAAATGAGCAAAACTATCCCATAAGCCAATTCAACTCAAACGTCGATGCTCAGAGCACCCACAAGGCATTTTAAGAGGCTCCTGATTGACTCAGCTGCTCGGTCACGGCACAACATGAAGACACCGCATTCCTAAGCTCCGCTTAGACCAATGAATTTTCCTCAAATTTGTTTTTCTCCGACAGATTTCTGAAATGAAAAAAAATCAATGCGAGCAACGGACAGTACATGTTCGAAAGGCAATGCTTCAAAGTGTCAGGGGCTTAGTTTTCAATCTTCGCTACCGGAATTTGCAGTGAGTGCAATATGCAGGGAATTAAAGGGAAAGTGAGCTCTGGCAGAAGACCCCTGTGACTCCAGGAACGCGCTTTTTCCCTTTCCTTCTTGAATCTTATTACGAGCAGCCCTCCTGCCATTTTGCACCGTTGACACCATTCACTGACGTTCAGAGTGCAGAACGACACCGGCAGGGATTGCAAGTAAATAACATCATGTGGACACTTGCTCAGAGACGGAGGAAATCACACGTGCTAATCACAGACCACTTTTAAATACAACCTTTTAAAAACATTTCATAACCTCCCGACAAGGCTGACCTTTAGTGGTCAGGCATTGAAAAATTAAAAAAAAAAAAGAATTAAAAATAAATCTATTCTAAAAAATAATTCTGTCCTTTAATCCTTTAAAGTGTCCTTAATCACTCTCAGTGATTAAGCTATTTTTATTAATTGTTAGTATTTCTTTATAATCTACCTGTGCTCCCAGGAATGCAGATCCAACTGTCAAAATCTGTAAGGGCCATTAAATATTTACCAAACCATCCTTATAATGGGAGAAAAGGTCAAAGTTAATAAAACTGACAGACAGCTTCTGTCCAACTTGATTTATACATTATTAAAGTATCACATATTGTATTGCACAGAATGCATCCCTTTCTGGGGACGGAGTGGTGTTAGCTGAAGAGACTGGGAAATTGTTGCTTAATCTTTTGTTCTGAGGAACAGAAACAACACTGAAAATAGTGCCAAAGCAGTACCACAAGCATCAGAACTACAGCCAGGACAGTCAATGGTCCTGATGGATAATAAATGTATCATTTGGGTCCTTTTTCCTCTTGCAAAACAAACACCTTTGTCTGCCAGCATCAGCCACAACAGCAAACCTCAGCTAAAAACATAACAATCCCCTCAAAACTTTTCTTACTAACAAGAGAATGCAACTTCCAAACACATTCACCATAGGGAACCCACATGAAATGTACTCTCAGAGGATATTAGGGGTGTCAAAAGGCTCTCACAGGGAACACGAGATGAGCTGATGGGACACAAAGCCTTTGAGGGTAAATGAACACACACAAGCCACATTTCGCTCGAGAAGACCCTGAGCCAGAGCCCGCTGAGGGCAGGAAGAACATTGAGGAGAACACTGCATACAGGTCTGTGCCTACAGCTACTGCGGGCAATGACATACGGGGCTACATGAGCCTCGGGTTGATCCAGCAGAGCTGTTATACATTTGAGTTGTGTCTACACAGGGGTGGCCCATGCAGGTTTGAGAGACCTCATAACCCAACAGAGTCAACAGCTGGGCACCTGTGGATGGTCTGAGTGCCTCCTGCATTTGTATTCCCAATGACCTCCATCTGCTTTTGACAACTGTACTCATGTAAACCAGCAGAACTGTGAACAGCAATAGCTTTATCCATGAAATAAGCTAAATACTTGCTGGACCTAAACACTGGTCCAGAACTACACAGCACTAAGTCATTTCTTTATCAGCCGCTGAGGAATTCCCCATCATTCAGAGGCTTTATTACAGCAAACATCCATGTTTTTCAGCTTTGGGGAATTCCTACTGGTTTATGTGAAGCTAAGCTCTTTACTTCCTAATGAAATACTCCTTCATAAAATTTCAACAAGATTGATCTTTCTTCTCCCCAATACATGCAGATGCAATGTAAAATCTATTTCAGAAAACTAAGAAATAAAACCCAACGACAACAAACAAGAAAAATCAATGTATAACACTTAGCAGCTAGGATATACACCAGTGCCAACTTGTACAGTTTTATGGTGAGTCTCATGATAGCTGCTATTTTTCTTAAAACTGTGGCTCCAAGTAGATGTGTGAATTCCACATTTGAAAATCAAAAGAAACTCTAGTTCTCAAGAATGTAGCAAAATACTGAGAAATAACACTGCAGTACAAAAGCTTTACCTGAAAGTAAATAAGAACTGAACTTGGATTATTTTAAAATGTCATTATTTTTGAGATTCATTATTTTCAGATGTTAATGGTGACATGGTCTGTATTTTCCAGAAGCAAAGATTATCACTAATGTTTTACAGTTGCCATAAACTACATTAACAGATTAACGGTGCTCAATCTTCCTTACAAAGTGAAACACATCATCACAAACAGCGCTTTGGAGTCACTCTTCTCACAGTTGTATTTGCAGGGAGGGCAATTTCTTCATCCACGTAAGAAGCCTTTGGCTTTCACATGAACTATTTAAACAGAGACGGTGCATTACAGAAACACAGACTGGATTTAGTTCCAAAAGTATTAATATTCTTTTACATGTTAATCATGTAATATATTTTATTTAGTTCACCCTGGTGGCTCTCTTATCAGAAAGAAGGCAACACACCCCCTAAAATAATCAAAACAAACCAAAAAGAACCCCTCCATCCCCCCATAAGATCCCATCCCCCCATAAGATCCCACTGTCTTCTGCAGAGGATCTTTAGGGTTTGGAGCAGAGAAAAACCTTCTGTATGTTATGAAACGACAAACATGTACACAGTGCTCATTTAAAACTTTTTAAATTAAAGCTTCATCATTAGAATCACGCTCTGTCCAGAGGTCTTTTGTTTACATAATTCATGGGCTGGAGATTTTGCATGTGCTGACCAAACAAGTCATCACACTCCACTTACTGACAAGGCCATTTAAAGTTGCAAAATTGGTTGGGCAGCGAGAAGGCACAAATCAGGGGAAGGAACAAAAAAGAAAAAACACCCCAAAAAACTCAGAGCACTTACGGTTTATCATGTCAGCTCAGAGTTGCTCATTAAATTTACCTGTTATCATTATCTTCCAAATAATAATTAAAAAATAACTGGTAGGTTTTCTTTAAAAGTAAAATCAGAACAGTAACTTTGTGAACACGTTAAACCGTCGTGGTATTTGTTTCCTCACTCATGTAAATATTTGCAGACCACAGACAAACAAAAAAGCATTTCCTCAGATATAGGTAATATAAAAAAACCCTTTTATTTCCATTCTTCCAAGAAATGGAGTTTTACAGAAATGGCTGACACATACTCACCCATCATGGAATTTTCCGAGCCCGCTGTAGCACTGGTGAACGCATGCAGATTTGCCTCCTTTTAAGATGCACAGTACTTTGCCCCTCATCATTAAATTATTTCACCCTTGCAGCTAACAAGGGATTTGTCTCTTATGATAAAACTCCGGTTGTACTTTGGAAAAGAGCAATGAGCAAGCAAGACACTCCCACAGTTTCATCTCTGCAGCCTCAAGTAGGCAAGAGAGAAATTACACCACCTTAATTGATATTTTTAAGCTTCTGTCAGATAATGAGGCTGGTTCGGAAATTTTCCTTTTCTCTAAACAACGTCTGATCATCTCAGGACAGCTGAATTCTTGACTTGGCCAAAAATGCATCAATAACCCAAACAGCAGCCTCCAATTTATTTACTCATTGGTTTTCCTGTTGTGGAACTGGGTTGCAGGCTTTTCAATTAAAAGGAAAGCCAGACATTGCACCTTTGCTCCCGTTTACAATTTAATTAGGACATTTCCTTCGATTTTTTATTAAAGAATTTATGCCCCCCAAACACTTTCCAGTTTACGAAAATATTTAAGCAACATTTACCTACCCACGATGGGAACAAAGGCTACCCCCATCCCGTTCTTTTTTCAATCCCTGTACAAAA